CACCCACCCACCCATTCATCCATCCATCCATCCACCCATCAGGTCAACCATCCATCCATCCATCAATCCGTTCATTTATTCATTCAGTGTGGTTATCCATCTATCTGTGCTGTGTGCTGTAATCACTGTCGGCATACCATAATCACTCATTAATTATTTCTTTTGCAGTGCTTTAATGATAATAATAATCCAGTCAATGGTAGCAAGCCAGACTTCCCCCTGTGTGGAGTAGAGCTCAAGGATTTCATGTTCGCAGCGAAAGACACTCCTACGTGCATGAGGAAGTCTCAGATGCCAAGCCCTACACAAAGTAAGTCAACAATAGACCATTTCACGGATCCCGTTACTCAACCTCAGCCTCGTCAGAGTGTAATATATTCTTTAGAAATTGCCTACAACCTGTGAAATTTTTAAGTGTTTCAATTGTTTGTTGATGTGTAAATTCCTTTCATTACTGCGGACTGTAGTCAAATTCTAAAGAATAATTACACGCTGACGAGGCTGAGGTTGAGTAACAGGATCCGTGAATGGCCTATTTTGAAAATGAATACTAGACATAACATTTACTCAAGTCAACACAGCTCATTGCGATTTCGAGTTACCAATGCAGGTTATATTGACAGCTACTAATATAAGTTGGGAGAAAATATATGTTCCTTATTGGCTGTAGTTGTGACGATGAGTATGTGATTGTCATATTGGTGAGTCAAAGTCACAAGATGTTTTGTATAATGACTCTTCTATCGATTGGTAATTCTGAACCAGGTTATATCAATATGGTGGCTGTTATGGGAGAATTCCAATACTTATTGTTATTGGTTATCAAATCTCTGTACCTATTCTGGAGATGTACATTATTCATCCTTTCCACCTTTCTCCCTCTATTCACCCATTTATCCATCCTCCCATCCATCCTCCCATCCATTCTTCCACCCATCCATCCATCTATCCACCCACGTATCCTTCCATACACGCAACCATCCTTTTACCAATCATATCATTTTGTTAAATGTTTCCCTACCTCCCTAAATCTATCTATTCTCTCCACTCCGTCCACTGATCTGTCCATCCACTCATTTATTCATCAATCACTCACTTATTCATCAATCAATCAATTAATGAGTTAGTGAATCAGCAAATGATTGATATATTGACTGTAATTTATTATCTTTAATATTTTACCAATAAATTCAACATATTCTAAAATATTTTCTTTCTTTCTAGACCAATTCTGTGATCCTCTTGGTGATTATAATGTCTGGGGTACTCTCTACCCCATGATGGAGAAACCCAACAAGAGTGACATAGTAGTAGCAGCAGCAAAGGTGAGACATTCATCAAGTCAATTTACCGTAGATTCATAGAGTGGTTTCATGTCAGTCATGTTGTATGGCAGAACCAATAGACCTCCTCAGCTCGGGTATGATGTTTTCGTATTTTAGACCACATAGATTCCCTAGAGCATCATTTATTTGTTTAATGGTTGAGCGTGGTTACGCATGAGAAGACACCTGAATATGACTGGATACAACTCAAACAAAGAATCTTTTTATCAAGGGAATGGCATGTGGTCTGAAATTGGAAAAAAAATTTTATACTACGCCAATCAAGCAGAGGAGGTCTATTAACCTGTTTAACGGAACCATTTGCTGCAATCTTTGTGATAGTTTGATTTTCACGTTGTCATGCAGATGTAGATGTTTCTGCAGATAACAGTAATTCTTATCAGTCAAACCTATTCTCGGCCACAACCTAGACATGTCTGGCATTAGAATATGATCTTATTTCAGCATCTTTGCCTGCAACATTGCGTGCAATGTTGCACCATGTTTCCTGACCTTTAGGAAGTGATTGCCCTTATGTGACAAATCATTCCCACCCACCCATCCCTCAAGTTTCAATTTTTGTCCTGTCATATTGTTTTGTAGCTTGACTCTAGCTCTTTCTTCCACGACATGGTCCACGGTGCGGAGAATGATGCTTCTGGTGTCATTGCTCTTCTAGCTGCTGCTAGTGCGCTCGGTGAAATGAAGAGAAAGGTATGTAAAAGTAACTTATAATTATCCAGATGTCTTACCAGTGTATTTATTGCTACACAATGATTGAGATAAAAGCCACAACACCTGAAGTAATATTTCAAAGCCGACAATGAGGACTGGACTGGATTTCAAGTCCGCGCAACTAATTGCAAGGACGACTTGAAATCTCGTCCAGTCTGATTTGGAGGCTTTGAAATGACTTCTAATAATCATTAATAATTCGGGAGGTTATTTGTTTAGGATTGAAAGACTTAAGGGACAGATATGTCCCTGAACTGAATTAATTTTGATCCAGTCCAAGGACTTGAATAAAATTAATTCAGTCCTTTCACAGGACTTTACCAGGTTTCAAGTAACATCATGTGACCTAAAAAATAGCCCATTGATTGGCTGGTTTCCTTATGAATTATTAATGAATATGAGAATGGGTAATAGACTACAATCAATTTTGATTAATCATTCTCATGTACCTTTCTATGGTTCCCCTCTATCTTTACATGTTCTTAAATGATTTACTTGAATGACAGTCGTTGTTTTGAGGTCATGAAGCCGGCAAAACAAGACTAAACACTTCGTAGGTCTTCTCATTGTAGTGCAAAAAATACCATATTTTTTCTCTTTTTGGCTAGTTGATAGCAAAAATCTACTTTAGATATCTACTAAGAATATATTTCTTGCAAGAAAAGGGGATTTTTAGTGTTATTTACTGCGCTAACTTACCTTTTATCACCAAAAAAACATCCTGAATCGCCATCTTTTTTTACATTCTCGCATAGCTAAAATCCTGTAAAATGCCAGCCACAATGGCCGATTTGATCATGTGACCTCTTAGTGCAAGTCGTCTATTGACTGTCATTCAAGTAAATCATTGCATTCTGACGTGCTGCAAGGGGTCTATTGACAATATTGGCAATAGACCCCTTGCAGCACATCAGAATGCAATACTCCATTTTACAGCTCCGTTCAGTGACCATAAATAGTAGTCCAGGAGGAGGTTGGAGTTGCCGCGCATGATATAAAGTATAGTTTTGCTATGCACTGAAACTCCAGCCTCGACTTGGAGCTACTTGGAACTCGTGGTCACTGAACAGAACTGTAAAAAGGAATATTCAGGAGATTGAAATTCTTTTTTCTTCTTCCTCTAAATTGAGCTACTTTGACGTCACATGCAAGGGGTCTATTTACTCTGTTAGCGTTGGTGTTAGTCTCTTTTGCTATGGAAGCCATCACTTTTGTTATCACTTATTTTTGATTACCCCTAATTAACAATTATTCGCCGAAAGCGAAGTGAATATCAGGGAATAATAACCAAAACGAAGTTGAGGTYATTTTTCCCGATATTCACTGAGCCTGAGGTGAATAATTGTTTTAGTATAAATGCACAAGTGATTCTTTCAAAAAAAGAAAATAAGAAGATAAAAGACACATTTTTTTCTGGTAACAGCAACAAAGCGGCTGGCCGCCATTTTGGATTATCGCTGGAGGTGATTATCGTGTGATAATCTGAGTTTCTCAACCAATCAGCACACGCGATTTTGAATAATCACCTGTGTATTTATGCTAAACTAATTTATTCACCTCTTATCCCTAAAAGTGTATTATTAATCTATTTTATTATTATTTCATTTGTAGAAGTCACTTCCTCCTCCTGCGAAGCCCATCATGTTTACTTTATTCCAAGGGGTAAGTCCGTTAATATTACGTTATTTTACAGTCCTTATATCTCTTTTCAAAACTTAATTGAGTTGTATACTTTTCTTCATATATCACAAACCCGCCTAGATTAGCTATGGTATTTGCAGGCTAGTGAATTATTGTACGTGTAGTAAATAAATTATTGTTTGTTAGGGTGCATGCACTAAACCCGTGAATAATACTTAGTACTAATTAGTAGTAATTCATACAGAATCCTTTGTTTCATTTTGTTTCATTATCACTATTTAGACTATTTAGTACTAAAAATAATTAGTATTTGTTTCATGGGTTTAGTGTGAGCACTCTAATATCAATAAATACTGAAAAATAATGATGACACTCGAACTGTGACCACTTTGAGTTAACTGTACCTGCAGAGGAGGGTAGAGATAAAAAATAAAAAATAAATTAACTTTATTTAACGAGGGTGACATACATTACTGGTAGCCCAGTAGTTTACATTATGGCCCTCCTACAATTAACTAATGAAACTGAAATGAATGACCAAAGAAACATAAAGTGTGTTAAGAATCCCAACTGGCAAGGAGGCAAGCCAGTAGGCTATTTACAAGCATGGTCGAGAAACTGAATCTGAACTAATCAGGAATCAGGACAAATACAGTCTCAGCTAGTGCCCACAGCGGGACTCGAACACAGTGCTCACCACTGGATTGCGAGACCGACACTATGACCACTCGACAATGCTGCCTCCTTAAAGATGCAAGCTTAAATCCTGTCCTGATTTCATATCCTTTTCTCCCCAGGAAAGCTGGGATTACATTGGTTCATCAAGAATGGTCTACGATATGGAGAACAAAGCATTTCCTCCAAACACTTGGAAAGTCAATGTAAGTCTTAAACTTAAAGTGCTACTA